TTGGAACATTTACAAGTTGTAAATGTTCCAACACTCGAAGTTTTAAAGAAGATGTTGGATAACCATTTGTCTGAAGTGGTGTAGAGTTTCCTGCCTAAGCAGGGGGTTGGACTAGAAGACCTCCAAGGTGCCTTCCAATTCTGTTATTCTATTCTAAGTTTCTCTCCAGGTAAAAGATGGGAAGAAGCAGTTGTCCCTTTAGATTTTGTGAGGGTGATCTAATGGCAACAATAGCAAAGACCCCTGAACAATTTCTAAGTCTGGGCTCTCCGAAATGCACCAGGATTTCCAATTCATGATTTACAGTCAACGCCACTGTTGCAATCCCAGAGCACAAGAAAGGGACAAGATAGGGGAAGCTTAGAGAAGATTGGGCATAGCAGTAGGCAGTTTCATAAGATGAAGTCCACCGGGCTCACCCCAGGAGCATCACCTTTTCCTGCAACGGTAAAATAGTAAATTGGGGTTGACGGTTCTTGACAACCCACATTTGCTTCTCCAGAACTAACTTCTCTTGGGAATCAAGTAAACCAGAGCTCTGCCTCCAACTCAGAATGTCTGCGACCTCTTAATCAGTGCTGACAGGCTGAAAAATAAAGTCCTTGCACGCTTCCAGATTTCTTATCGCTTCGTGAAAGGCAAATGTCTCTTTGCTGCGTATTATGGATGGTGGCAGTTCTGCTCTACCTCCACCCTCCACTGGTCAGGTTTCTCCTTCGGTGGCTGACCCTTCCTTTTGGGAGACACTGTTTTTAGAAGTCCTGCTCGTCCCACGCATCAGTCGCTTCTGTTTGTTTGGGGGCTTTTCTGGCGCAAAAAGAATCATTTATTTAACAGAACGCTCATCACAATTGGAGTCCTAGGAGAGCAGCTTCTCCGCTTCTTTTCCTGATGCATTTTTTATTCATGTTGACAAACAGAAGCAACAACAGCTTAAACTGGGAAGAAAAACGCCCTACCAACTTTTAAATGCTCCGTTGCAGAAAATCAAATGGATTGGAGTGTGAAGTTTTAGAACTCAAGATACCACCATACACCTGTGATGGCAAACCTATGGCACGTGGGCCACGGATGGCACGCAGAGACCTCTCTTGGGGCAAGCCAGCCATTGCCCCAGCTCAGCTCCACCGTACATGTGTGCACACCTACTGCCAGCCAGCTGGTTTTCGGGTCTACTGCACATCGTGGGGGTGGGGCACATGTGGGGGAAGCGTGCGCAGGGGGCAGGGCACATGCGCATGGGTGCTTGCAATGCTTTTGGGGGGTTCTCACACATGCACATGCCCCCCCTGCACTCTGTTTTGGGCGTAGAAGGCCTCCTGCACCAACCTGGAAGCCAAAATGGGGCAACAGTGTCTTATACATTGAATACAGCATTTTTTACGTCCCAAAACCCTGCCCCCTTCACCAAACTGGCTGTGCATAGTCTTTAGGAGGCTTCCAGAGTGCTCCTGGGAGATGGGGACGGCAGAAACGAGCGAAAAACGGGTTGGTTTTTGCTCGTTTCCCCGCCACCACCCCCAGAAGCACGCTACAAGCATCCTAAAGGCTATGCAGAGTGCAAAGACTTTTTTTAAAAAATTTGCCTCTTCAAAATCTTGGTGCATCTTATTCTCCAAAAAATACGGTAGTTGTTCTCACTGTCAGGAAATTTCTCCTTAGTTCTAGATTAGACCTCTCTTTGATAAGATATTCAGCTGGTTTTCGGGTCTTTGCCGTGCATTGTGGGGGTGGGGCGCATGGGGGGATGTGTGTGCAGGGGGCATGCGTAAGGATGCTCGCATTGCATTCTGGGAGTTCTCACACATGCGCGTGCCCCCCTGCACCCCGTTTTGGATGTGGAAGGCCTCCTGCACCAACCTGGAAGCCAAAATGGGGCACCATGTGAGTCCCCCCCCGGTGCCCCATTTTAGACCCCGAAAGACTCCTCCACCAACCTGAAAGCCCAAACGGGGTGTGGGGGCATCATGCACCCCATTTTGCACCTGGAAGGCCTCCTGCACCAATCTGGAAGCCAAAATGGGGCCCGGGGGAGCCGTGCAAGCCCCCCCCCCCCGTGCCCTGTTTTGAGCGTGGAAAACCCCCTGCAGCAAATCCTGTAAGGAAGGCAGGAAGGAAACATTCTGGTGTTGTTTCTAGCCTGATCTTTATTGACCTGCTTACAGAAACTGCCTCTCCGGTTAACCCTGATTACATTGTCACAGCTAAGGCGAAGCGCCCATCGACGTGAGTGACATTGAGGTGGCCCCGCCCACCCAGTCACATGACCACCAAGCCCCGCCTACCCAGCTGGACATTAGGGCAGAGAACTGGTTGTTGGAAGAAATCTTCTTTTGGTTTTTTCCCCACTTTACAGAGCTAATCCTGTAAGGGAGGCAGGAAGGAAAAATTCTGGTGTGGTTTCTAGCCTGATCTTTATTGACCTGCTTACAGAAACTGCCTCTCCGGTTAACCCTGATTAC